AATTGTGTGACTTCATTACCCTTGTGCGATTATTAATATTATTATTATCATCATTACTGCCGTATAACTTCGAACATGCACTCCACTTAAGTTCAGTGATCATCCCGAAGAGTGGTTAACAGGAACAGTGAGTAACAATCGCGGGAAACCGAATCAGCAGATTGCGATATTATATCACATTGAGGTTCGCATTGTTCATAAATTAGAGCTAAAAGAAAGACCGAGTTGCGTACAAAAAACTTGATGAAAGAAGTGCGTTCATTCTTCACAGCCAACCAACAAAGTTAGGACACAACAGGTGGTTTCGTAATGGTCACTGGATCGTCTTTAATAGTTCCGAAACTTGTTTTCTTGTGTCTTCTGGATTCGCGACACTATATCCTTTCGTTCTTGAACTCACGTATATGTCGTAATCATTTCCACCCTAAAAAATCACTTTTGAAATGATCAATGAGTTACAAACAACTGGGTGATCAATTGCAGCAGTGCGCAAATGAATGACAATAACTGGAATGTGGGTAGCCTTTTTATTTTTCTTTGACTATTTCATAACTTTATAGATTACACTCATAACGAGAATCCATTCAAAACACTCGAGTAACCATCAGTCATTTATGGTTTTCGTTTGTGGATTTTATGATTCACAAAAATTACCTCGTTTGAGTGTGGATGAAAAGCATTTGCTTAAATATACATGTATCGGAATTCTACAAACTTCACCGGAGCATCATGTTATTTAGAATGAACGGAATGCGAAAGTAAACTAAAATCCACTAAGAAACAAGCAACGAACCGGTGCAGTTTTATCGCCGAAGAAATAGACCGTATCAAAGTCGTTCAGATATTGCAGGCAAAACGTTTTATCCCAGCCTTTCGGAAATATATCCACACTGATTTGACCACCTCAATCGACAACAATCAATTTTAAATTCCCACATAATGATTGCCAATTATAGATTATCAGTGCATCAGATTAAAATGAGAAATTTGAAAAACAAAAGAAACGACATACTAAACATAACATTCAACTAACCAATGCAAATGTTCAAATCCCATCCTTTGGTAAATTCTTCCAATTGCTCGACGAATCGTTGTCGAATATGGTTGTCAGCATCAAATTTGACGAAATCGAGTCGTTCTTGTTGGGAGCAACTTCGACCGATTGGTGAAACATTCAACATACCCTCAAATAGATATCATCTCATTCTCACTATTCATCACACCAGTTCATCGATACTTCAAATACACTTAAGTATGATCAATAATTCAAATGAACATCGGATTAAATTTCAGCACAGATGAACGAACTAACATTACGAAATTCAATAAAATTGCCTCGTTTCACCGGAAGTTCGATTTCGGAAAATCGTTTCAACGTGAAATTAATCAGTTTTTGCAGACGATCTTCACCGAGTTTCTCTTTGATTGACTGAAAATGTACGATTCGGATGAGTTTCGCTTGGAAGAGAAATTTGCTTTTACAATAGAAACATTACTGCCCTATTCAAAATCATAATTATTGCACAGGTGAAGAAGAGGATGAGGCAAAAAGAATAAACGGGACTCCGTAAGAAAGCGATTCGGTAAGATGTGTTCTTACCTTCACTGGGAACGCATTCTGATCGTGGAAACCGACTAAACCATTCTCAGAGAACACGTAATCGAATCGTGTTAACACTGAAATGATCGATTGCAAATGAAAGAAACACTGCCTTATCACATACAACAAAACACAATTAAAAGCTTCATAAATACGACAGCCTTGACTATAAATCAATTAATAATTATTGCATATCAATCAAATTCGATTTCATTTGAGTGCAAAAGTGATCGCTTCTCATTTCATTCCGAAATTAAGCATCTTGGAACAAAATCCGTCCAAATACTGATAGCTTTCAATCAATTGGTGTTAACTGAATCGTAGTAGCTGTCAATGCAGAAACATACCATCGTCAAGACTGTCACCTAATTGTTCAACAATTTTCGATAAATCCGATCCGCCAACTACCGCTAATGGGATTCTCTTTCGAACTTCCACAAGAAAATCACACATTTCTTTATCTATCTTCTAAAAGCAAAAAACTTTCAGTGAAATGAACCGTGAATATCTCATTTGTGAACACCTATCCATTTCGTGAATGAGCTTGCATTCTCATTCGTTTATTCATAGCAGATTCATTTCCAATACTCTCTTCTTCGTAATCCTGAGTTTCTTCTTCGAAACTTCTTCAAGACAGCAATTTCGCTGGATCAATCTCGCCTCGCTTCAACATACAATTTGTAATGCTAATCGTCTAAAAGAATTCCAAATCCATCGACCGATTGGAAGCTTTTGAAAGTTTCCGTTGGGAAGTTACTGGTGCTACTGATAAGATGAATGATTGAAATGAAATTCTAAAGCACCTGTCTTGGCATTGTTAATGTTCCATCGACATCGAACAGAAGAATTGCCTTTTTTCGATCATCACCTCGTTGCATTGTTTGTTCGTAATTCAGTCACAACCCTCCAATTTAAGCAAACTGATATAAGCAAATAAATGAATAATTCAATTTATATGAACAGTTGAGAATATGAATGACATCAAATGCTCAGTAATGCTCTAGCAATTGACATGGAACTACGTGGCATGACATGGATTTAATTGCATGAAAGGGCACTCCAAAACAGCATATATGCCAAAATAGTCGATTATCTCGTAATGTGGAAAAATCAAAGGGCAGAATTTTTAAATATTTCGTTCGGAAACAAGAATCACAAATTGATTGAGCTGATCTTGATCATGAAAGGTTCCAGCATTTTAGCATAAGATCTGAATAGCGAGTACATCCAAAAACGTGGCAAGTAGTTACATTGCAAATTCCATTGGAAATCGAATTTTATCGTTGATGTGACGACGTAACGAAGACGAAATGTTTTAAGTTATCCGGAGAAGCATAAATGAGAGCGAATCAGTGATACATCAGAAGTGAATGAGAAAACTGTCACGTCATGAAGGAACGGCAATGTGATTGAGCGAAGCAAGGGTCGAGAGTGGCGAGACATCATGTGAATCAGACGTAAAAACTGAATAAAGAATCTGAAAAATGAATAGAATGCAGAAGAATAGATTCCAATCGAAACATTGGTTCAGAAGGTACACACCCACTCAGCACTTCTATGTAACAACTCGTCTACCATAGTCTTCTGTCAGTTTTCATGACTGATTTCCATGATATTTCATTACTCTCATTCCTCATTTGTTATGAAACATAAAACTTTCATTGTGTCGCAATTGTTTTCTCATTCCTTTCGGTCACATCACTCAGTCACTCTTATTCCTTCTTCTCCAGTGAACCTGTATTCCATTCATTCCGTAACTTAACCATCCAGTTCAGTCAGCTTTCCAGTGCAAGTGAATCTTAACGAACAAGTTGGCAGAACACGACAGACTTATCCTCGGATACGGATGAAACTTTTTATGCGGACTTTCTGGATTGTAATGAGATAGGGTGGATTATTAAATGAGTTGACTTTGTTTTTGTGTATCTTTGTTCCCATACGATTCGTCAGTTATTACTTATTGAATATTAACGATTTATCACCGAATATCTTATTCTTATGAAGGATTTATCGCGTTCCGTTAATGATTTGTTTTTTAATTCCTTCTATAATTCTTGGATCCGAGTGGTTGTGATACGGGTTATTGGCAGTAGCTTTATTTGCACATAGTCACAAATAAAATTCATCGTGAAATTTTCTGAAGTATTATTTTGTATTTTGAAATATTCAGATGATCTGAAATTAAACTGCAAA